ATCCATCCACTCACCCACCCATCCATCCATCTCCCCATCCACCCACCCATCCATTCATCCACCCACTCATCCATTCATCCACCCATTCATCCAATCCACTTATCCCCCCACCCATCTACCCATCTATCCACCCATCCACTCAACCACCCATCCATTCACCCACCTACCCACATTCCCATCCACCCACCCACCCACCTACCTACCGACCCATCCATCCATCCATCTACTCACCCACCTACCCACCCACCCATCCACCCACTCATCCACTCACCCACCTACCCTCCCACCCATCCACCCACCCATCCACTCACCTGCCTACCCATCCACCCATCCATTCATCCACCCATTCATCCATCCACTCACCCCTTCACCCATCTACCCACCCATCCACCCATCCACTCACCCACCTACCCACCCACCCATCCACTCACCCACCCATCCATCCACCCATCCACTTACCCATCCACCCACCCACCCATCCATCTACCCACCCATGCTCCCATCCACTCATTCATCCATCCGTCTACCCACCTACCCATTTACCCATTCATCTACCTACCCTTCCATCTACCTACCCACCCTCCCACCCACTCCATTATTTATCCATCTACCAACTTACCCATCCACTCACCATCCATCCATTTAACCCACCCATCCATTCATGCATTCTCTCTACCCGTCCCATCCATCCTACCATCCATCCACTCCACGTTGTCATCCATCCTTTTATGTGTGCTTCCACTCATCCACCCATCCATCCATCTAAAGCTCACCAAGAAGCCCCCTGTGTGTGGACCTGCGCCGGGCACTGGTAACCCAGAGATGAATCCGCTCCAGGCTCTGCCTCATGGGCATCTAGTCTCCTGGGGGAGGACACTCCACCAGACCATCAAGTACATGTAGGTCAGAGCTGAACTGGCCACTGCAGGGCAGAAGGGGATACGTGACCAAGACTGTCTGGGGGTAAGGTGTGGTCAGTCAGGGAAGGCTTCACAGAGGAGGGGGTGATTGAGCAGAGTCTTGGGGGCTGAGAGGTCTCCCTGTTAGCCAGGATGAGAGTGGCCAGTGTGTGCAAAGATGCACAAAACTGTAAGGGGCATTTGGGGGCCACAAGTTGTGCTAGTTGGCTGCCGAGCAGGGCGGTGGGAGATGGCCAGGGAAGGCCTGGACGTGCTGGGCTGGAGCGGGACTTCAGCGCCACGATGAGGGATTTCACATCTGCCTTCCTCCTCTTTCCGTGCTTCCCCACCTCTGCCCCTCCTCACCACCAGGACCTCTCCTCTCTCCACACTCACTCCGGAGGTGGCTTCACCTTGTGGCTTTAAACATCGTCTCTGTGCTCCTGGCTCCCGTTTGGCCCCCCAGCCTGGCCGTGTGATTTGTGTCTGGGTTTTAATTCATAAAGGGGACTGAGTGGGCCCTCGGAGAGGTCAGCGTTACACTAGAAACAAGAGGATGGAACCCCACACGGGGCCACGAGGGAAAGCACCAGAGTTGGTCGGGAGGCAGGGAGGAGCAAGGCGGATCCGGAGCCAGAACTGGATTTGGAGCTATTACTGGGGTTTCTGTGGGAAAGTCGAAGGCAGGAGCAACAGCCTAGGACTGGCTGGCATGAAGGATTCCTGTGAGTGGGGGCACAGGGGCAGTCCCTGCTTGTCCGGCCCTGGCCCCCGGGGACTTAGGGCAGGGGAGATCCTGGCTGAGAGTGTGAGTTAGACAGAGGGTGGGAGGGGTGTGGACTCGGCATTGCTTGGTTGGCAGGTGAAAGGTGGGCCGATAGCTTGTTTGCTTTCTCTAGGACTTAGCTGGCCCTGCCAGGGGCCGTCTCTCCCTGGCCAGCAAGTCCCCCGTGTTATCAAGCATCACAAAATATAGACAATTTTAAAAACAATTGCTACACAGTATCCTCTGAATTCCAGACTTGAATATCCAGCTGTTTAGCGATCCTTTCGAACTTAGCATGTCTGCCACTGAGCTCTTGATCTCCCCGAGCCTGCTGGTCCCCACGCAGGTGATGGCAACCCTTTCCTTCTGAGTGTTCAAGCCCGAAACCCTGGGGTGACCCTTGGTTTCTCGTTTTTGCTCAAACCTGTATCCAATCCAACAGTAGATCTTGTCTCTACCTTTAAGACATGTCCAGAATCTGTCCACCACTGTCCCCTGAGTTACTAGCATCTCCTACCTGAATTACTACAGAGCACCCCCACCCTCCAACGGGTATCTGCGTGTCTGCCCTTGTCCCCCTCAGTACATTCCCCACAACAGGGAGGTCCTGTTCAAATACAAGTCCTTTTCCTCCCCTGCACAACCCCCCCAAGCCTATTTAACCGAATCAAAGCCAAAGTTGTCAGCATAGCTTTCAGCGTCCCTGTGATCCTCCCCCCCCGCCCCCCGAGCTCCTCTTCACCCATTCTCTCCCTCCTTGCTCCACTCAGCCACACTGGCTTCCTGGCTGTTCCTGGAATAGTCCAGGCCCACTCCTGCCACAGGACCTTTGCACTCACTGCTCTTTTCTGTCTGGAAAGCTCTTCCCCAAGATCTCTGCCTGCTTCTCTTTCCCGCTTCCTTCAGGTCACTGCCTTTGCCTTACCCCATCTAAGAGGTCCTGCCTGAACACACTGTTTAAATTGCACCCCCTCCCCTTGGTTCTTACTCCTGATCACCCTCCCTGCTTTCCACTTGTAACATGTTAGCATTTTGCTTATTTGTTGTGTGTGCCTTCTCCCTCTGATTGAAAACTCAACGTAGGTGTGGAGTTTTGTCTGTTTTGTTCTGTGCTGGGTCCCCAGTGCCTAGAACATGCAGGTGCTCAAGAAATATTTGTTGAATGACTGAGTAAATTAGTATTTTACGTAGAGACGTGCTTGAAATAAATCCAATACTGAAGTGTGTTTTGCCTAAGTATGTGGTTGTCTCTTTACGGATTTCTGCTTAGTTCCTGCAAACTCTGTGCACCTTGGTCACAGCCCTCCTTTCTGTCTTTCTCCCAGCCCTGCTGTCCAGTCAGGCCCCCCTAAACCCTGTCCAGATTGAGGAGCAGCTGGTGCCCCCACCTGTGATCCAGTCTGACACAGAGGCCGAGAAGCAGCTGATCAGGGAGGTGAGACCCCGGGCAGGTGGGAGAAAGGCAAGCAGTGGGTGCCCAGGAGGAGAGCATCTGCTGAACAATATCATTTTACCCCCACCAGCATCGTGGGGTTGGTACAACAGTCTCCTTTTTGGAGCTCAGAAAGCTGAGGCTCAGGGAGGGGCCATGACTCGCCCAAGGTCCCATGGCTAAGGAGAGTCTGAGCTGGGGTTTGAACTCAGGTCCTGACTCCAGGATGGAGCCCCTCCCCCGTCAGGGCCTGCATGGGGAGCACAGGGAGGGGTGTGGGGCGTCTGCAGGGGTGCTCTCTTCCGTACTGTAGGACGGGGTGGCCGTGGGTTGATGGAAATGGAGGCCTTCCTGGTGGTGGGAATGGCCTGTGCTGGGCCGGGGTGGGGGCGTGGGGAGAGTGGAAGGAGTTGGCCCCCAGTGAGGGTGCCAACAAGCCAAAGGCTGAGAGCCGGGCGGCCTGGTGGGCAGTGGGGAGCCCCCAGGCATCCATTTGACCAGTGGATAAGTGGGGTTTTGGCCTCCCAGAAAAAGCTGTCACCTGGGGACGCCTTCTCCTCCCCCATGTGTGCCTTCCAGCATCTCTGGGAACCTGCAGGGAAGGTAATAATACCCTGGTTTACAGATACCGAGCTGATCCCTAGAGGGGGACTTGCACAGCCAGACTCAGCAGAGCCCCTAACTCCCGGCTTAGGCTCCATCCCGACTCCAGGCCCCACTGGTTTCTGGAGATTCCTGCCACTTGAGGGCCCCATTCAGAACCTGAGCGTGGGGTGGGACACTGGCTTTTTCCTGGTGGAGAAGGAACGCCAGGCCGGGACAGCTCTGCAGGGACTGGGTCCCTGGATGTGTCCACAGCTGGGCCTCTACCCTTCAACTATAAACTCAGCTATAAGCCCTGGGGCCCCTGGGAGCCCTGGTGAGGTTGTGGGGGTCTGGGGCCCAGCTTCTGCGGGGGGCAGACTGGGTAACGCCTGGGAGTCTGAGTCATGTGGGCTGGAGGGCTGGGAGAAATCAGCCAGAGTCCCCAAGGGCTGCCCATGACAGGCAGAGGCTTTTACTGTTTGGGGGGAGGCTCAGTTGTGGCCCCCAGATGGACTTTGTCAAGGGGCTCTGCTCCTTGCCGCCTTGGAGCCTCCTGGGGTGGGGCCGATGTCAGGTCCATCTCTGGAGCCCTGGACCCGGCTCCTGGGGAGGCATGGGGTGGGGGCCTATTGGGGATGGCTGAGCCACAGAATGAGAGGAATCACATCTTGGGGGTTCAGAGTGGGTTTTGGAATCATGTAGCAACAGGTGACATCAATCACAAAACAGTAGGGCTGGGAGGGTTGGCCAGGGGCTGGGATGGAAGCTTCCCCCGCAGGGAGCCTGGTTGGGTGGGGCAGGCACCCTGGCCAAGGGGCAGGGTGCCGCCATCCCCTCTGGGTCACCAGAGAGGAGACTCTGCTCCGGGCTGGCTGCCCCAAGGAGCCAGTGATTGGCAGATCCTTCTGCCCCGGGGATGGCGGTTGCTGGCCTTGTCGTCACGAGATAGGCCCTGTGGCCACTGCATCCGAGCACTACCACCTGTCCACCACCGAGTGTCCTCTCAGGCCCTGGTGGTTCTTCTGTGAGCCACACTTGGAAGAAGAGTCAAAGGTGTCTGTCTTCCCTCTCGCCTTCTTTCCCATTTCACTTATGACCCACTCATATTTTTTGAGCATCTACTATATGCCTGGAACCGTGCTTTCCTTTCCCATCCAGAACCAGTCAGGACACTCAGGATGAGGGAGTGGTCTCTGTGTGGGGCGGCGAGGGCACTGGGCCAGGGATGGGCTCCGCCGCGAGCGGGAGATGTGACTCTGTGGGCTTCAGTCTCCTGGCTGCACCAGGGAAGGGGGGGATTTGGACCAGAAGATTCCTAGGGTCCATCCAGCTTTTCCATTGTGCAAGTCCAGTTCTTGGTGGGCTCCGTGCCCTGGGACGGGCTGTTTAAGCTCGCGGAGCCTGTTTTCTCATCTCCAGGAAGCTTTCCCTTGACCGTGGGAAGGGGAGCTGAGGGGTGCCTTCTCACCACTGGGCTGTGGAACTGGCCCCAAGCAGGACTCAGGGGGCTGGGTTTGCAAGCATTTCCTGAGCCCCTGCTGGCTCCGGGCCCTGTAGCTGGGGGTGCGCAGAGGCCCATGGGAGAGTTGTTCTGTTTCAAGTATTGGAGCACATTCTGTAACTGCTGGGGGTGATCTAGCACCGAGAGAAGCCCGCGCTATGGGAGGGAGATGGGGATGGAAAGAGCAAAGTCGTGGAGCGGGTGGCTTGGCTTCACATGGTCTGTCCCCTGTCACAGGAGGACGAAGAGCTTTCGGGCAGACCTGCAGGTGGACGGGAAGGTGTGGGCTGGGATGGTGAGGGCATGCTTCAGTGTTCTCTGGGAAGCAGGAGATGGGAAATGGGAGAGGTGGAGGGTTGTGGAGGGAGGGAGAGCGGAAGGACCCAGGAGGGGCGCTGGGCGACTTAAGAGGTCCTCTGTGGTTCAGGGTCACACATGTACAAATGGGACTGGAAGTCGGCCCTGCTGTATGTGCGCATGTGCCCATGTGCATGTATGCGTGTGCTCGTACGCATGTGTGTGCACGCACGCTCCTGTGTCTCCAGCCTGGTCTCGCTGGTGCGCAGGTGCGACGAGGCTGAGGCCTGGGTGTCACCGGGGCCAGGGCCGCGCTGGCAGGGACCTGTGGAGGGGGCAGGGTGGGAGTCAGGGGTGCTTGCTGAAGGATGAGTGTAGGGTAGGGCCCGAGTCCCCTCTGGGGAGGAGAGGAAGCCAGGGCAGGGGGGCGGGGGGCAGGGAGAAAGCAGATGGGGTGTAGGAGGTCTCCTGTGGCCGCTGGAGAGCTGCATGGTTCTGGGCAAGTCACCTCCCTGGGCCCCGGTAACCCCACGTGTTGCCCTGAGGTCAAGTGCGTCTCAAATGTGCCACAGAATGTGTAGTCACATATTAATGACCCTCTGTCCCCTTCTGTCCCTCCCCGAGAGCCCAGGTCATAGTGTCCGTGCCGTTGTAGAACTCCGGGCTCGTTCTGTGCTTCTGGAAGGGTCCTGATGAGGTGGGCGTGTGCACAGGGGCTCTCCCTCCCCTCCCCCTGCCCCGTCCGGCTGGCTCTCTCAGGGGCGGCTCCACGACACAGAAGGTCGGGTACTGTCCTTAGCGCGTAGCCCCGGCCCCGCCTGCGGGAGCCGCGCGTAGAAGCCTGAGCGGTCCGGTTGTCCTTCCGGCCAGCGGGCGGCTCCAGGCACCTGTGGACTCAGGAGTTTCCCCTGAGCCCCTCCCTCCTCTGTGCTGGCGGCCGAGCTGCAGGAGGGGACGGTGGTCAGGGAGGGCCGCTTGGAGGGGCTGTTACTGAGCTGAGGCCTGAAGGAAGAGCTTGCTGGGGGGCGAGGGTAAAGCCCCGGACGCAGGGGGACATGGGCTGTCGAGGTGGAAAGTAGCCTGTGTGTCCAATGTGGCAAAATGAGGTATATCCGCAGGGTGGGCTGTCCTGATCTCTGGGGCTCAGTCAAGTCAGGAGGCGTAGATTTCGTCCTGTAACATAGGAGCCACTGAACCTCGGTCTAGGGGCGCCTGGGCGGCTCAGTCGGTTGGGCGTCCGACTCTTGATTTTGGCTCAGGTCGTGCTCTCAGGGTCCTGGGATCGAGCCCCACATCTAGGCTCTGTACTCAGCGGGGAGCCTGCTGGAGATTATCTCCCTCTCCCGCCGCCCTCTCCTCTTCCTCCTCCTCCTCCTCTCTCTCTCTCTCTCTCAAATGAATAAATAAAATCTTTAAAAAAATGTAGATAAAATTCAGAAGGGCCTTCACGAGCCAATTTCGTCCCCGTGTTGTGTAGGTAATTTTAACTTTGTTCTTTTGGCTTATTGGTATTTCCCGCGTTGTTTGAATGACAGAGAAGGCGAACTGAAAGCCACCTTGAGGAGTGGTGGCCTGACGCTGCGCCCCCATCCCGTGTCCCCCCCACTCCCAGGAGTACGAGGAGCGCCTGGCCCGGCTGAGGGCCGACTATGAGGCGGAGCAGGAGTCCAGGGCCCGGCTGGAGGAGGATATCGCTGCCATGCGCAGCTCCTACGACGTGAAGCTGTCCACGCTGGAGGAGAACCTGCGAAAGGAGACAGGTGGGCGCCTGGCCCGGGCTGTCGGGAGGGTGGCCAGAGGGCTCCCCTCCCCATTTTACTAACTGGCACTTGCAGAGCACCTTCCTACGCGCCAGGCTCAGTTCTAGTTACTCCTCAGTACAGCCCAGCAAGGTAGGTACCACCATGAGCCTCATTTTATAGGTAGGGAAACTGAGGCACAGAGAGGGTGGGTAATTTGTCCGTGGTCATACAGCTGGTGAAGTGAGTCAGGATTGGAACCCAGGCAGTGTTCTCACCCACCGAGCACTGTATCCGTGAAGCCGTGGCCCCAGGCTGGGCCCTAGCCCAAGGCTGACTTAGCATTACAATGTATCACCCATATTTCATGGGTAAGTTCCTTCCCCCCGTTTCTGCATTTTCTAGTCTCCTCTTCTTTTTGAGCCCACATCCCAAAATAAGGACTCAATTATTAGCAAGAACTTTCACCTTGCTGAAGATTTTCCTTGTCTTTTTGACATTCTAGAACGTTCCACCCTACCACTATCATCCAAACACCTGTGCTGCCAGGCAGCTCAGACTTCCTAGCACTCCCCAAAATACTATAAAATCCACCTTGTAATGAGGACGATATTGGTCACATCGTGGGTGCCATTTATTGGGCATTGCTGTGTGGCAGGCGCTAGGTGCTAGGTACTCCGTCAGTGAGTGAGGACGCACTGAATCCTCACATTGCCAGTGTGCCAACTGAGGCTTGGAGAGCTTCCGGCTGCTGAGCTAGGGAGTGGATGTCCGCTTTCAGCAAAGAGAACGTCAGGACTCTCTCAGGGGAGCCCAGGACACAGTGACAAAGAAGTGGGTGGATGTAAAGCCCCTGAGCTGGGAGCCCTAAGGAGGCCTGTGGGATTGCAGTCTCGTCCACACTGGCAGACCCAGAGGAGAGGGAAGGGCAGGTTCTAGCATGTTCTGTCTTTCAGAGTGTTCCCCCAGTCCAGTTTGAATATTAGGCCTCCAAGTGGTTTTATTTGATCTAACAATCATCCACAGTGTTCATTTAACTCCCATGGATCTAGCATTTTCTGTGGATGAGAGCCCTGAGCAGGACACCCTGTGGGGGCCCCTCAGGGTCTCGGGTGTGAAGTCTGCGTGCTGATCGGGAGCTCTTGGCCTTGGAGGCCATGAGACCCACAGGGCAGTCACCTTCTGTGTGAAGAGCAGACCCAAGGCAACTAATGGCTGGGGAGGTCAGAGAATGGAGAGCTCCTGGTGCTGGTCAGGGAAGACTTCCTGGAAGAGGAGGAAGGAGACAGGGTCTGAGTCCTGATAGAGGAGAGGGTGGAGGTGGGAGGCCAGTATTTGGGGGCCGGGGAGGCTCTGGCTCTTAAGCCCGTCCCTTAGAGATGGTGTGTTTGGGGCTGACCCCCAGGGGCTCGCTCGTCCTCCACTGTAAGGAGCTAAAGGGAGTCTCCATTTGCAGAGGCTGTCCTCAAGGCAGAGGTCCTCAAGGCGCAGGGCACATCCAGGGCTGAGTTTGCCAACAGGTCTGAGTGCTCCCCCACGTTCCCCTCCGAGATGGCCGTGAAACCTGGGATCCACTCCATGCTGCACACCCTGCCCGGCGGGGATGTCTCCAAGACTGAGCTTTCTCCCGGGTTCGAGGAGCTGCCCGCGGCGGAGACTTCCAAGTCTGAGGTGTCTCTGGGGTCTGATGAGTCTTCCACGCTCGAGGAAACCTCCATGTCCGAAGCCTACCCGGGGCCCCAGGAGCCTTCCGACGTGGAGTTCTCCGTGCCTGAGGCGGAGGCCCCGAGCAGCTACCTCCCAGAGCCGCACCTCAGCCCGGAGGCCACGGAAGCCCTGCCGCAGGCCGGACCCGTCCAGCTGGCAGCCCTGGGGCTGTTGCCCAGCCTGCACGACCCGTTTGCCGAGGTGGAAGCCAAGCTGGCCAGGCTCTCCTCCGCAGTGGCCGGGGCCGAGGCGCTCGAGGCCGGCGCACCCAGGCTCTGCACACAGGTATCCGGTGCCATGCCAAGAGTCAGTAGGTGGAACTCGGCTGGGGGCACTCAGGCCACTGGGTGCGCACCCAGGTCTCACCGTCTGGGCGGGGGGCTCCGGCTTGGTGGCCAGAGAAGCCCTGTCTCGTGCTCCGTACATCGGGAGGGAAGGGGGGATGGAGATAGGAGGCTTTGCCCAGTGGGCCCCTGTTCTGCTAATGGAGGGACGCCCGCTTGGGGGGTTGGCTGAGTTGCCATGGTTACACCCAGCTTCCAGGCCCGAAGGAAGGAGCCGGAGGGGGCTGAGGGCTGCGGGAAGGCTGCTACTTTTCAGGGGCTCCCCCCTCCCCGACCCCAGGATCCTGCCACTTTGCTGGATGCCTTCTCTCCTTTCCACTCTCTTGTATGGTTTAAATTCTCTTCCCCCTCTCTCCCTCTTGTTCTTTTTCTTTTGCTTTGCTTTCCTGTCCTTTCCTGCGTGTGTGTGAAGAGCCTTTGAGCCAGACAGACCCGGGTTAAATCCCAGCTCGACCGCTCACATAGTTGTGTGACCTCGGGCAGTCACCTTTCTGGGCCTCGGTCTCCTCTTCTCTAAAATGGGGGTGCCGACGCTGCGTGCTTCACCTGAGGTAATGTAGGTGATGCTCCTGGAGCACGCTCCCTCCCCGGTTCTCTCTTCCCTGTTCTCTTCTCTCCTCGCCCCTGCTCCCCACTGGTCCCCTCAGTGGTGACAGGCAGGAGGAGGTGGTGGCTTGGTGAGGCACCGGGCAGGGGCATGGGGCGCTGAAGGGGAGGTCAGGGAGCAGAGGATGATTCTGGCCCACTGTCCCTCTCCCTCCCTCACCCCATCCTCCTGCAAGCACCCCTCCCTGAAGGATCTGCTGGGGCCTGGTGTCCTTAGGGCTGAAGCTGAGACAGCTGACTGCCTCCTGCCCAGGGCTGTGAGTTCCCCGTCCCCATCCCCCCCCACGCCCCCTACCC